GATATCGTGCCACGTATTATCATGCCATTTGAACATTGTCAGGACTCCTCTAACAACGACCAAGACGGGCAACAGCCCAGTGGACTGCAACCATCAGCGCCGTCGCCGCCATTGCCGACGGGCGCCAACACCGCCTGCGCCTACGCCGCCATTGCAGACGGGCGCCAACACCGCCAGCATATACGCCGCAGGCGCCAGCGCCGCCTGCAGATGCGAAGTCTGCGCCGCAAGGCCGGGAGAAAGCGCGCTATCCGCCCCAACACGTACAGGCTCGCATCAACGGCATGGCAAGGCCGCGCAACCCCTACCCCTACCCGGAGCCGGACACCACCGGAGGCTCCACCGACGAAGACACCTCCGCCGAGGAAGACTCCGACGACGACCCATGGAGCACCCCACCCCAACGCCCCGACCGCTATTACGCCGGCCACTTCGTCGGGATGGGCGTGAACTCCGACCCAATCATGTATGAGTTCGTCGTCGGCGAGGAGGACGCCCCGGCGCGAACCACATTCAACCCTACGCACATACAGTAAAAACCCGCGTATAAGAACATAGAACCTGTTAGGCTAAAATTTCCCATTTAGACCCCTTTACATAAGAACCTGTTTTAGGCTAAGATTTTAAAGTAGGTTCTTAATTTTCCATGCAGATGAAGACTTAAAAAGAAACACAGGTAAAATAAAAAAGACGAGCTCAACAATACCGATGAATGTGCCAGCACCTTTTTTTGGCACGCATCTTTTTGCATATTGTTTTGTTTCCTTGAATACATACTGTATCATACAGTATGGTAAGCACTGAAAAACTTACACTGTAGCCCATCATGGGTATTAATTAGCAAAAATTGCAGTCCTTCAATTTTAACACAATTTGAATCAAGTATAGGCTTATACATATTAAAAGTAGAAACAATTAAGAACCTATTTAAGAACCTTTTGAGCCTCATTTTTCAGTAAGCACCATTTATATAAGAACATATTGAGGCTAACTTGGAAAAATCTATGTTCTTATACGCGGGTTTTTACTGTACAACAAATGGCGCGATCGCTCGCCACGGCGGCCCTCTTGGCCACTATGCAACAGCCACCCGCCACCCCCAACGGACCCGACCATCAAGAGGACGACGACGGTGACAATGACCCCAATAATGAATGCGAGCATGACGCATGAGCGTCATGCACATTAACTCCCGATTAGGTCCCTTCAGGACACAAGTGGCAAGTGAGTAGTTCGGTAAACCGTGACGTATCATTGTGTTTATGTATTAATGTATTATGATATTATTTATTAATGTATTATGATATTATGTATTAATGTATTATGATATTATGTATTAATGTATTATGATATTATGTATTAATGTATTATGGTGTTACTATTATATTCAGGTAGTAATATTACAAAGTTACGACGTCGACCGCCCCCCCCCCCCTGTGGACGGCCAGCCAGCAGGCTGGCATTAGATGTCCACAGGGTGGACATCGGTTTAGTAGGGGGAACAACCATGTTACAAGGCACATGTTATGTCGCACGCGACGCGGCGAGCCCGCGACGCTACCAGCGGTAGACGGAGACATTCACTCTACGGCGTTGCCCCTAGCAACCACGGGCGATCAATATGGCCTGCGAGCCGAGCGAGCTGAGCAGTCAAAGATGGCGGCACGCCGCGCCGTAACATGCTGCTGCAGTGCTGCTGTCCTGGGCACCTACGCCGGCTGGTTGGGGATTAACTACACCCTCCCAATTAGCGGCGCGTACGTGCCGTGATTAGTGGTGGCGGCCCTAGCATGGAGGCGAGGCCCGGTGATGCCCCGCGGCTAACGCGATGCGACTTTAGAACCGCTCGATCGTGGAGTGTCACCGGGTGGTGGGATTAGCTGGATTAGATGCGCTAAATGCAGCGTGAAAAGCTATCAACGCTCGGGGCGGCGGCCATGTTCAGCGCGCGTGACGCGTCCGTGCGAATAGACGGGGCCACCTCCTGGACGGTGGTGCTGCAGAATAGCGGGTCTTCCCCGTTAGGAGCCGCCACCGTCCAGGGCGAAGGTGGTGAAGCCAAGCGAACGCGGGTGAGACGGACGCGGTGGTTGGCGCGCGCGGTGCGTGGATGAGCATGCACCGCGCGCGTGGCGTCGCCTATAAAAACCGCTGCACAAGCGGATTCGGGGAATGCTCTCCTAACTCTAGACGCGACCGCCTGTGTATCTGTATCAGTGAAACAATAGTGAAATTCAGTCAGCATTAAACAGCTTCAGTCATGGTATATATTCTTTGACTCTACTTTTTGTCTATGTCCTTTGGCTACGAATACGACATTACAATATGCAACTATACCGTAACGTAAAACTCTGCGTTACACTTGCTCAAGTTCAGAAATTTTTAACTGTTCAAAAATTCTCTGCGAATGCCTGCGATCAATTTATACGCAACAGGGACGCTACGCACGGAACACGATCGCAACACGATCGCAACTCATAAGTTATGAACGCAGGTGATCGCAGGTCCAAATTTGAGGTACTGCCAGTTGGTACGACAGTGCAGAATTGTGCGACCCTGCTTCGAACGGTTGCGTGCCTTGTCGATTCAAGGTGCTGGACGTATCCCCAACGCCTATTGCGTATCCCCAGCGTATCCCCAACCTATGAGTCGTGAGTTGCGTGTAGTGGACATACATACCTTTGAAAATGATAAATATTGGCCTTGCGAGATCGCGTGCAGTTGTTGGTGGAACTTTCCGAGGTGACAAATGGACTACTCTCTGTTAGTTTGGATCATCAGTTTAATCTGGTCAATTAGCACAACCAAGCACATACTAATAAGAATAATACAAGGGAGAAACAAAGAAGAAAAAGTGTGGTTAACATAAGATAGCAGGCCCTGCACTGCCGCTAAACGACCCAGCTTTCTGTGGAGCTCCGGAACGAGGACAAGGGTGCATTCAAGAACTCCAGAGGAGCCCCGAGATTACGATAAGCGCACGAAGTGTGCCCTCGCATCACCCAGCAAAACACCAAGTACAGGTGTGCTCGCCGGACACCTGGCCTGAAGCGGGCAGTCACTGCGGCACCTGCCTCGGACCAAGTACTGCTCGACAATCAGTTTACCGTTATGACGTCTTTATATACAGGTTTTACCACGTGACCGATATCCAATAGCACGTCAACACACCAAGGTCAACGCAAACTCTGGAAGTTTTGAACTCAACTCAAACGCACCAAACCACCCGCACCCGAACTCGTAGCTAGGTACGCAGATATGGAATCAAAGTTCATCGGCACTCATCCACGCAACCGCACCACGCATTAACCACACGCAACCACACGCAACGCCAAGGTAATAGGCAGAAATGACAAAATGTTTGATTTGTGCCTTTGGCGTATAAAAAAATATTTACCCCAAACTCATAGGTTTCAGCCAACCTAGGGTGACGGGGCCTTAAGTGAAGACATTCCAAAAAAGAGCAAAATAACAAGAGAAGATTGAGGGGAGGAGGAAATTAGAGGATCCAGGTCGAGGAGTGAGAGAGGGGAGGGAGGTGATAGAGAGGGAGAGGCGGGGAGACAGGAGACTGAGGAAACCACGCCCCCGTACCCCCCTCCTCCAAAGGCGGCGCGCGGCGTACAGCGCGCGTGTGTTGTGGGTGTGGGTGTCGCGCTGTGTGTTGGGGGTGACTATGGGGGATCGAGGTAGTCCCCTTTTTCATTTGTTTTCTGATGCTTTCACGTACTCTGGTCACATTTGGGAGCAGTATTACACTAACACGGAGAACGCAGTAGATAAATGACCTAATAATCGATACACACGCCGTTTCAAGTGAATAATAGAGTTTAATGAATCGAACCTAGGCTAGCCAATTGGTTATAAGTATATAATTAATTTCAAGCTTGGGGTTAGGGTTAGGGAAAGCACTGGTCTATGAATGACATTGGTGTGCTAAACTATCCAGTACAGCAGGTGCATAGCACCAAAGACTGTACAAAAGGACCACTACCTCTTCTTGCAAGTACCTGTTATACAACTGAACAAAGCAGTCAGCAAACTTACTCCCCCAGATCAATTCATGACACGACATGACTATAAATATAATTGTAGCACATGTGTGCATCATATTAGGACTACCTACAATGAGATCATCTTTGATTTCTTGTATACGCCTGATAATATCAAGAGCTAATAATATGACTAATAGCATATATTAATTTATATATAGAGATATTCTTAGTCTATGGTATGAGCACCTGTGCGCCATTAACAATACCTATTACCAATATTATATGAGACAATGTTACAATAGTAAATTCTAAAAATTGACAGTCGTTATAAATATAATGTTTGTGACTCACAAGTGCTAATACTCATGTTAACAGGCGTACAAGAAATCAAAGATCCTGAAATTAAGTATAGTCCTGATATTATGCCCACGTGACATAAAATGATATTTATAGTTGCGTATTGTCATTAACTGTCATGATTATAATGTAGGACATAATAATGATACAAACGACAGACAAATTAAGGTGAACACACGTTGTGTTTTTTAAGAAACATTTAAAAATAAAATGTGAAAATTATGTGAAACTGCATCCTAGCTCAGATGCTGTTCTTCTTCATGATTAAACATTTCAAATCTACGTGAGATACCACAGCTTGTACCACAGCATAAGCTAATATGTTCACACACACGCATGTACACATACACCAACTATTTGAGGTAGACATCATTGCCTCAATAAATTGCAAAGATTTGAATGAAAGGCCTATTCGTCAGGTAGTTTAGTTAGTATCCATGACTTTAGCAAATTTAATTCTTCCAGGTATTAAGGCTCCGGTATTTATCCGGCATGCCGAAGTCCGGAAAAAGTGTGAAAACGTTCTCCACTCTTAGTTTCTGCACGTGACCACTGGTCTCCTTTCCCTAGTCAGATAACACGATCGGAGTACGCAATCCATGAGCTTGAAATAGAGGCGGGTTATCACTGTTTTTGGCAATACAAATGTTACACCGTAGATTCATTACTATGGAAGCTTGACAGTGAAAACACCCCGGCAACGTTAGGATGGTAACAGTAAGCCAAATGCATAGCCATACTGCCACCCATTGAGAATCCACCTACGATGATGCGATGTTTAGGTATTCCTGCCGTGACCTGTGCATCTATCAGCCGTGTGAGGAAGATCGATGATTCACCAATACTCCGTTCGTCTTCTGGAACACTCGCCGACAATTTTTCACGGTCAAACCAGACCGTATAGTAGCGCCAATTGGTGTATATTTCCCCACTGGTGCAGTTGGAAACACCACGCGTATATGTGAAAAGATTAACGTATTGCTGAGCAGTTTCCCCACTGCTTTGTGCATGCCAAGACCAGCCCCACAAACTCCATGCAGAAAGATGACACAACCCGTCAAGCTCGCGACAACTGTAGGCGGAAAATAGGTTTAGGCCTATCCGCCTCCATAATCCATGATGATGATGATGTAAAACCAAAAGACACATAATGGCCTAGTAGTAGAAGTGTGTACAGTGTTCCAGCGAATATTGCTAACAGTGAAAAAACTTCGATCTGCTACTATCCGAGGTGTACCACGTACAGAGGTACTTGGTCATTTCCTTCCGCCTTTACGACACAGGACATGCAGTTACTCTAAGTTTTAACGCACTCGGACGCTACTCTAACGCTACTCGGACGCACTTTTGCGCGGCGTATCGGCGTGACGCTCTCGCGTTGAAGGACGCACTTGCAAACAGGCATGCGCAGAATATGGCATTGCGCAGTAGCTCTAGAACTATAGGCCTACAGGGCTATAGTTCTAGAGCTAATTGCGCAGTAGCTCTTGCGCGCCAGCGGTAGATCGCCAACGGACGCGGTAAACAAAAATAGCCCTTTACTGCCGATAAGGTAATTTTGATATAAGTAATAAATAAAGTTATTAAGAACGTGTAATCTGTGCAAAGTAACAACGTGTAGGCCTATCTGCGCATTCAACCCATTGAAAACTATCACCTAGATCAAATGAAAACATTATCAGCCACGGTATGCGATTCTAAATTACGTTCTGTCACGGAATAACGCATGCGCAGTGTGTTCATTTTTGGACTCTCTCAACACTTTATATATTGATCGAAAATTTAGAAACTCGGAAACTCAAAAAGTCGTGTGGCGTTTCAGGGCTTCCATGATATTCTGCATGCGCTAGCACACTTACGTAGTCAGATTGTGAAGGGACTGGTAAAGGAAGCGGGCACCCTACAGACTAGGGCGCTCTACTATTCGTGGACACAGATCTACTGATAGTGTCAGGAGTCTATCAATATTGATTTTACCATGCACACTTGCTGCATGTCAGCCTGCCCGGCTCCAGTTTGAACGTATAAGAACGGCCGAAGAATATTATCTTGGCAGTCAACGGCGACCGACGTTGCAGCGCCATTTGCACAAACATTAGCATAGCTGGGAATCGTGGCGCGATGCTGCGAGCGAAGTAAAGCATGTAGATCAGATTTTACCATGCACACGTGCTGTCAGCCTGCCCGGCTCCAGTTTAAACGTATAAGAACGGCCGAAGAATATTATCTTGGTAGTTAACGACGACCGACGTCGCAGCGCCACTTGCCCAAACTTTAGCATAGCTGGGAATCGTGGCGCGATGCTGCAAGCGAATTATGCTGCAAATTTGTTTTTCTCACCAATCGTCGACGATCGTGGGCCCGTCAACGCGCGCACCGCGCTGGGACGAGCTCGTACACGCTTACCTGATCATGTGCTTGCGTGCCATTTCGAGCGCCTGCACCGCGCCCTCGTGGTAGTCGGGGAGCGGCTGGAAAGGTATGTCGAGCGACGCGAGCAGGCCCGGGGTGACGTGGCCGTGTACGGCGTGGTGAGGCTCGTCTCGCTTACCTGCCGATCGTTGCCATCATATTAATATGATCATATCATATTATATCATATTAACATATACACACTAGCTCTTGATAAAGCTGGCTACAACTCCCACAATGAATACACACGATTACTATGGCCTCTTTCTTCCGCTTTACCCTGTTCTACCCCCTTCCCCGCTTCTACCGTGGTTCTCCCGCCGCCCCCCCTCCCCGTTTACTTGGTTCCTCCCCCTCCACCACGCTTTCACCTTGTTTCCTTTCGCGCCCTCTTACTTCCGGTTCTTCCCGCTCGCCCGCTCTCTCACCTCTGCCTCTCTCCGACCCCCTGCCTCTTACGCTCGGCTTTTCCCCCTCTCCGTCCGTTTTACCTCAGTTTCCCGCCCCCTTCCCCCCCCCCGCTTACTGGTTCCGCCGCGCCTCCCGCCTTCTAACCCTGGTTCTCCCCCCCGCGCTTTACTTGGTTTCCCCATTCGCGTTTACGCAGGTATTCTCCCCTTTCCGCGTTTACCTGGTTCCA